CATGACGGGGCAGGCACTAGTGGCATCACTACAGCCACTGCCAATCCACCTGTGTCTGCCGCCGCCACTGCCAACCCTACACACCCTCATCCAACGCACAAACATATATTACGTTCTCGCACAAAATTATCCAGTGACTATAAAGAACTATCAAGTATTAACAAAACTTCAGGAAAGCATCATAAGAAAGATACTACAGGAACTTGTTCAAGCTCTAGGTAATGAATTTACTAAAAATGATAATCAGTTGTATATTCTGAAAATCATGTTTTATATTTATAATATCTTATTTAAATAGACATCGTTCTTCGTCACGTGCAAGAAAGGCAGTGATAGAAGGAAGTTCTGGGGGAAGTGTAATGTCAGGTACTGAATCTATAACTAATAGTACCACTCCAACAACTGTTTCATCTACAGTTTCTAGTAATCAATTAGTATCTACAACAGGAGAAGACGAATTAGCATCTACAGCTACATCTGCCACTGGTAATTTCACATATATATTCAATTTTTCTAGCAACTGATTTTTGACTCAAAAAAAAAATAATTCATTAACTCTTTTTCTTTATTTAAAATTGCTCGCAAAATTAAAAAGAAAAACGAATAAGAGATTCATAAAGAAGAAAAATCATAAATTTTTATATCCGGAATTGTTTAATGACATGTTATTCTATTCTTTTCTCAAGAATAATATTTCTACTATTATTTTAAATTTTTCGTTTCATTTGAGGACAAAACTAAGCCCAACCAAGTAATATATTTAATCTTACTGCACCGGCATTTTTCTACCGAATAATTTAGTAACCAGCACTGATTAATACTATACAAATAATTGATTGATTTTGCCAATATTTGTGATATTATATTGTGATTCTTATATATCATTGGTATTTATCGTGTTTAATAATTTAATGACAACTGAAATCTAATTGTTGTCAATCATATGATAATTGCAACATAATTTTGATTTAACGACATCAATGGTAAATATAATGGGATAATTCATTCACATTCAATTGGGAATTGATCAAATTCATTTATATATAAATATTTTCATTTAATTTAATTCTTATAAATTTTCATTTAATTTCATTCAATTTAATTTATTTAAAAATAAAATTTTAGATAAAAAAATTTCATTTTTTATCTTGAATTATTTATCAAGTGATTTATAAATTAAAAAGTGATTTATTAAATTAAATTAATAAAATTTATAATAAAATTAAAGTATTTTATCAATATCATTTTTTAATTAAGCAAGTGGAGGACCATCTGGAATGTCTGGTACTACTGGAGATAGTGAAAGTGATGATGGAGAAGTTGGGAGATTGCAAGCATTACTTGAAGCTAGAGGTTTACCTCCTCATGTATTTGGCGCATTAGCACCACGAATGCAACATTTATTAAATAGAAGCATGGGTGCAAGTTCTGGTATTTTATTTTTTAAAAATTTTACTATTTTTTTTATAATTCATTTTTTAATTTTAATTAAAAATCTTTTTTTAAATAAATTTAAAAAAAAATTTGAATTATTTAGAAAATAATTTTATAATTTCAGCTGCCAAAGCTCAACAGTTATTAGCTGGTTTACAAGCTGTTGATGATGAGGGGGAACAATTACAAGCTGTTATAGGAATGGGTGAAATTCTTGTTATGGGAAATGAAGATACATTAGCTGGTTTTCCTGTAAAACAAGTTGTTGCAGCATTAATAAATTTACTCGGAATAGAACATAATTTTGTAATAATGACACACGCATGTCGTGCTCTTACTTACATGATGGAAGCTTTACCTCGATCATCGACAGTAGTAGTTGATGCTGTTCCAGTGTTCTTACAAAAATTAGAATCTATTGAATGTATGGATGTAGCAGAACAATGTTTAACAGCATTAGCTATGCTTTCCCGGAGACATAGTAAAACCATTTTACATGAAGTATGTATTTATTAATAAACATCATGTAATGATTTACAATGAATATTTCCTATATATTAATTTATTCATTTCTAGGGAGGAGTATCAGCTTGTTTAAAATTTGTCGATTTTTTTAATATCACAGCACAACGGGCTGCATTAACAATTACAGCAAACTGTTGTCAAAATCTTCATCCTGATGATTTTCACTTAGTAGCTGACAGTTTACCTTTATTGACGAGTAGACTGACAAATCAAGATAAGAAAAGTGTTGAATGTGTTTGCCAAGCATTTAGTCGTTTAGTTGATAGTTTTCAACACGATCCGGTAACTTTGCATAAAATTATTAATGCAGAACTTCTTCAGAATTTACAACAATTGGTAAGAAAAATATTTTTTTTTCTATTTTAATAATATAATTTTTTATTAATTTAATTGCTAAAGATATATTTATTTTAGCTTATGATTACCCCACCTGTTAATAGCATTAGTAATTTCATAACAGTGTTGCGAATGCTCTCTGTGATATCAAATCGCTGTCCTGATTTGGCACAGCTGCTTTTACAACAAAATATAGCTTTTACACTAAGTTATCTTTTAACTGGATCACTAGAAGTTAAAACAGAAGATGTAGAATTAGTACCGCGATCTCCGCAAGAATGGTTTGAAATCACTTGTTTAATTGAAGAACTTATGCCTCCATTACCAACAGATGGCATATTTAGTGTAAATAGTTTACTTGAAAGGACCAGTAATCAGCAAGAAAATGTTCATTGGGAGTGGCGTGATGAAAGACATTGCTGCCATCCATTTAGTACTATTGATTCTAGAATCATTGAGGTATTAATAATTATTATAAATGATATATATTATGTACTATATAAATATTATAAAAAATAGAAAATAGTAAAATAAAAATAATTTTTTCAGATGGCATTTCAAAATGGTGAGGATGAGATCTGTCTTTCTTCTTTAGGTCGAACTTATACAATAGATTTAACTGTGATGAAACAAATTAATGAAGATATTGGATTAGCAAGAAGCATTTTTCGTAGAGTAAATGCACATCCTACAGAAGGAAAAAGTCCTACATGTTCATCTAAGTAAATATCGAAGTTAATTTTTAAAATAAATTCATCATTAACTATATTAATTATAAAATGTTAATATAATTTCTATTATAAATTTTTCTAGTATGGATGTTGTACCTCCAGTAATTGAAACAAATGAATGGTTAGTATCGTTTATTCGAACTCTATTCTCTGTGTTATATGAAGTCTACAGCAGTTCTGCTGGTCCTGCTGTAAAATGTAAATGTCTTCGAGCTCTTTTACGTATGGTTTATTATGCCTCAACTGATTTACTTAAGGTATGCAAAGTAAATGAGAATATATATTTTTATCTATGAAATTAATTGTAATTATTTAAAGCTTTGTTTGTTATTATTAAAATAGGATGTTTTAAAAAATCAAGTGGTATCATCACATATAGCGGGTATGTTGGCATCCCAAGATTTACGAATTGTTATTGGAGCTCTGCAAATGGCAAGCATATTAATGAAAAGATTACCACAAGTATTTGGAGTTCATTTTCATCGTGAGGGCGTTTTGCATCAAATACGTCAACTAGCTGATCCTGAAGTACCTCTTGGTGTTTCACCACCCAAGTGTCCTTCTAGTACTGGTAATTTATTTAATTTATTATGTATATTTACATGTATATTAATTTTTTAAATATTATAAAATATCCTTTATTTTTTTTAGGTACATCATTACCAAGCCCACAACCAGGTCCATCTAATACATCTCTTTGTTCCACCACGATGTTTTCGTCTAATAATGCTACGTCTCCAATTGCCTCTCCATCAACGAATGGTAACATATTATTTGGTACAATTGCAACATGTCAGTTGAAATCAAATCTTTCTGCGTCAATGGAAACACATACTAGAAATGAATTAAATTCTACTGTAGATGATGTAACTACACCACAAAGTGCTCATTTGTAAGTATAATCCAAAATACTATGGAAAATTATATTAAAAATATATATTATAACATATTATTTACATTAAATATTTTGTTAGGAGAATTGGAGATGTTTTGAAAAGAAAACGACAAAATAAAAAAGGTCGATTTTCTAGACTAGGCAGTACTACACCTCAACAAACTCAACAACCTGAATCTCTATTTACTGGTTTCGCTCCTAAAAATAATCGTTTCTTAGGAAATCTTAATCCTGCTAGATGGGGTCGAAAATCATCATCTTCAAATTCTGCTAATGATAAAAGAGATACGAGTTCATCAACAAGTTTGTCAAAACCGCCTAGTAATTCAAGTCTAACAGGAGGAAATAGAGATAAAGCTAAAGCATGGGTACGTGAACAGGCTGCTCAATTTTTGGCACGATATCAGGATGATGCTCCATGCACGCATCCTGCAATGACAGTTCTTTCCAGGCTTACTGCTGCCATACAACGATTACAATCTAATGTAAATATATTTCAATATAAATTTAATATTTAATATTTTTATTAAATATTAATATTTAATATTTAATAATTGAATAATATATTTTTAGGAATTGGATGAAATGTTATCGGCACTTACCGAATTAAGAGATATAGTACTTGAAAGTGATATATCTCCGTTTGAAATGAATTATAGCGGTCTTATCAAAGCTCTGCTCAACTACCTCACTACTACAGATGCTCCTGGTAATCGTTACGATCGCCTTCGTATGTTCTGGAAATTGTTTGCAGAATCAACTGTAAGTAAAATGAATAAATGTAATAGCATGATTTAATGGAGATTTTTTTTTAAGAATATGCTCTCTATATTATATATATATGTGTATATATATATATATATCTGTGTGTATGTGTGTGTGTGTGTGTATGTGTATTCAATTTTTAGATGCATCAGGATAACAATATTACTGATCTTAATCCTGGAGCATTTGGTGCTCTAGTAGCAAAATTAAACAGTTGTGTTGCACAGTTGGAACAATTTCCTGTAAAAGTACACGATTTACCGGCAGGATCTGGTGCTGGTCGTGGAGGCACTAGTGCTCTTAAATTTTTCAATACACATCAACTCAAGGTACAATTTAATTAAATAATAAATAATAATAATAGTAATAATGTAATTCAATTTTTTATGATTTTATAGTGTAATCTTCAACGACATCCAGATTGTAATAATTTAAAACAATGGAAAGGGGGTACTGTTAAAATAGATCCTCTTGCATTAGTGCAAGCAATTGAACGTTATTTAATGGTTCGTGGGTATGGTAGAATACGAGAAGCAGAATCTATGGTTAGTGACGATGATAATAGTGAAGATGATATAGATGATACATTGGTAATATTCATATATATGTGTGTGTGTATATATATATGTCTAATTTTTTTTCTATTAAGTAAATATTAATAATATTTATAGGCAGCAGTAGTTATAAGTCAAGGGTCAGCAAAACATAAACTTCAATTTTTAATTGGAGATGAAGTACTGCCTTTTAATATGACTGTTTATCAAGCTGTAAGACAATTTGGTTGTACTGGAATGGATCATTCAGAAGCAGAAGCTGATGGTGAACCACCACTTGGTCATGATGCCGTATGGGTACAAACTCACACAATTTATTACAGGTATTTTTTATTTTCTCTTCTTTTTAAGAAAAATATGAAAGTAATAAAAAATAATTTGTATACATTTAGACCTGTACCAGAAGAAGAAACTATAACATCACCAAAACCAGGATCAAGTTCACAAAGTAGTAGTCGCAAAGGCAAAGGAAAAAGTACAAAGATCAGTTCAAAACGAAAAGAAGATAGTTTGTGGCTTGAAGGAACAGTTCCTCCGCAACGTTGTCCACTTGATCCTTATCTGTCACCTACCTTGCCATCTTCGGTTACTATTACTGATGCCTCATTGGATGGTTTATGTTTACTACGTCTATTACATGCTTTAAATCGTCATTGGGGTGTTTTATTTCCTCATTTGAAAGGTTTAAGTTTACTTTCTCCACAAGATTTTATTAATAATAAAATAGCCGCAAAAGCAAGTCGGCAGCTACAAGATCCTTTAGTGATTATGACTGGAAACTTACCTCTATGGTTACAACAAATTGCTACAGTATGGTAAGTATTATGAAAATTATAATAAATTATTAATATAAATTTTGTTAAATTATATTTTTTAATTATTTACAGTCCATTCTTATTTCCATTTGAAACGAGACAATTATTACTCTATGCAACATCGTTTGATAGAGATAGAGCTTTACAACGTCTCTTAGATTCCGCTCCAGAATTATCGGGATCGGATAGCCAAGAACGCGTTACTCCACGTTTAGAACGAAGAAAAAGAACCATTTCCAGAACGGATATTCTCAAACAAGCAGAATTAGTTATACAAGATTTAGCGTCTAGCAAAGCCTTACTTGAAGTGCAATATGTTAATGAGGTCTATTTTTTGCTCTTTACGATATAATTTATTTTTTATTTTTACAGTAAATCTTATAGATATTATTTTGTAGGTTGGTACTGGTTTAGGTCCAACATTGGAATTTTATGCTCTAGTCTCTCAGGAATTACAGCGTGCTGATCTTGATCTTTGGCATGGTAGTTCAAGTCCTACTGAGGCAGGATATGTTAATGCTCCTCAAGGACTTTTTCCAATGCCAATTTCATGGAGTACTAAAGTATCCCATCTTGCAAAACTTAAAACAAAATTTAAGTTTCTTGGAAAGTTTATGGCGAAAGCGATATATGATTCTAGAATGGTATAATTTTTTATTTTGTTGATTAATTCAAAGAAATAATAAAAAGATTTCAAATTTATAATTATAATTTTTATATAATTTATATAAATATATAATTATTTATATAAATATTTTATATAATTTATATAAATAATATTAAATTTATATTTTTTTACAGTTGGATTTACCATTCAGTTTAACTTTTTATCGTTGGTTATTGGGAGAAGAACATATGCTAACATTAGCTGATTTAGCACATGTTTGTCCTGATGTACATCGAACTCTTACTAGATTACAGCAAGTTATTAGACAAAAGGAAACAATCGAGAAAGATCAAATATTAAGACCACATGAAAAAGCACAACTAATAGAGTCACTAAATTTAGATGGATGTCTAATTTCCGATCTTGGCCTTGTTTTCGAATTACCGGGTTATGAAAATATCGAATTAAGGAAAGGCGGAAGTGAAATACCTGTTACTACTTATAACCTAGATCAATACATCAAGGTATTGTAATAATAAATTCATGAATTTTTTTGTATAATTAATTTAACTATTTTGAAGTTTTTTTCTCTATTATATGGTGTTATTTTTTGCTTATAATATTATATGTACCACCAATAATTTATAAAAAATATATATAACTATTTATAATTCATTTTTTAGTTGGTTGTACATTGGTTCTTATATGAAGGTGTCTTCAGACAAATGGAAGCATTTAGGGAAGGATTTGAATCTGTTTTCCCACCATCACAATTAAGATTATTCTTTCCTGAAGAACTGGAAGCTGTGTTTTGTGGACATGCACAATCAGGTGGACAATGGGATGTGAAAACACTTTCGGAATGCTGTAGGACTGATCATGGTTATACACCAGATTCTCGTGCTATTCGTTTTCTATTTGAAGTTATGTCAAAATATAATAGTGAAGAACAAAGGCAGTTCGTTCAGTTTGTTACAGGTTCACCTCGATTACCAGTTGGAGGTAAATTTTTAATTTTAAATTTCAAATAAATTATATAACTACTATATAATATTAATATATTCATATAATTAATATATTAATATATTCATAAAATTTAAAAAAAAAATAAAAGTAAAATTTTATTTTTTAGGTTTCAAGAGTTTAACACCGCCGTTAACAATAGTGCGCAAAACGTTCGATCCATCTATGAAAACAGACGATTTCTTACCATCCGTAATGACTTGTGTTAATTACTTAAAACTGCCTGATTATACAACATTAGAAATAATGCGGGAAAAGTTGCGAATAGCTGCACAAGAAGGACAACATTCGTTCCACCTTTCCTAGAAACGGATGGAAAACCGGCGCGCCATTTGCTCTTTTGCTATCGTATTGTCCAGGTTGAAAAAATTCTTCAAACACCATTTAAAATATTTAAAAAAGTAACTGCGCGCGTGTTTTCTTCAACTCTCAGTAATCGTATATTTGCACTTTATATGAGCTTTTTCGAAAATATCTTTTTCTTGATTTTAGTGAGAATTCATTTAAATAAATTTTAATTTGATGTTTATCTTTTTACTTATAAATACGGATTGTGATATATTTTCTCAAAAAAGTGCAAAAATGACATTAGCTCTACTATGAGTTTCCTCTTGTGGTATTATGAACCAGGTAGAATGGGAGCAGCCTTGTTCTAGGAAACTTATCTTTGATGTGTTACAATAATTAATAAAAGTTGTAAATATAGTTTAATATGCGCAAGTCTATATAAATACTTTATATAATAGTAACAAAAAAAAATGATATTGCTACGAAACTCTATACTAATTAAATATAATTTAGTCTGAGAGGATGTTTATTAGACATAAGTAAATTTTATATCAGTGGTGCATTTAGCATCGCCATAAATCGCCAATTTCATGCCTCATTGCAGATTGTAATGAAATCACAAGTCAAAATCGATGAAAAAAGAAAAAAAATTCGCGCTAATAACGTAGCTCATGTTTCATCATCATAAAAATATAATAACTGCGAATATAATTGCGTGTTTACGATTATCGTTTTAATTTCTTAATCGATCTCTTTTGTTCGCTGCTTAGTTCTCAGTCATGCGAGCACTGCGCGAATTAACGTGCAAAACTCTTATATTTAAGTTTATTCAATGTATCACTAATTAAACTTATTTGATATTTTTATTCTAGGTAAGATAGTCCAATTAATACTTTACTTAGCTGTATAAGAAAGCAGCCAACATCATCAGGTCAAGTCATCATAATGATACATGAATCGAAGAAAATTCTTATATCCACTTATTTACAGGCAAAGTATCTATTTATGAAACATGTACGACAACTGTATAATACGAAATAGAATGGATATAAAAATCAGCGAAGCTGGTGTATCAAATGGATTATACAAGGTACATTACTTTCTTATATTTCTGTAGAAATGTGATTCTATACAAAAATTATGAAAATATGAATTGATCACAAATAGAAAAGAAAATAATTGACTATTTGTTTTACATTTATATTGTGTATTATTACTTGAAATGATCAATATATACATACATCACTTTTGATTTTTATTTTTATATATATGGAACTTAATTGATAAATTAGCAATTAAATTAATTGGTATTAAATCATTATTTCTCGTTTTAATTTTTAAAATAAAATTAATAAGATTACTTCAAAACTTTGTTCCATCCTTGAAATATTTTTTTTAGCATTATACAAAATTTCTTTTCTGACAATCTACGATATTCTTATACTTCATAATTTTTATGTATTCTATGATAAAACATAAAACATGTTGTATTTTTGCATTACATTTCTAATAACGAATAACAATAATGAATAGTTGATAATATATACATAATGTAGAAGAAAAATCATTCTACACTATGAAGTATGCAATTAGAAATACAATATAATGTATAATAGTTTAGGATTATTTAAACTTATATCAGTAATATTACAAATTTATGTTTACATCAATTCATTAGTATAAATGAGTTTTACTTTTATTTAGATCATATTATATTTCTTTAGCAGTTTTCAATAAATGAAAATACAAATGTTGCCTGCCAACAAAATATTTTTTCTAATCACTATTTCATAAGTAGTTTCATAATATTTTCATAATGATAAAAATATTAATAATAAATAGTTTATTTTAAATTTAAAGATAACATTAATGATCATTTTTTACATTTACATATAATAATTTTTTTTATTTACTTTTCATTTTTTCACACATATTATTTTGTAAAATTTTAAATACACATACATAACCATCCTATTATAAAACACATTCCACCTACTTTTGTTATTATATCATGTTGTTTCTTACCCGTAAATGCATAATAATAACAAGTTCCACAGCACAATATTATTCCAGAAATCAGGAATGTTGTAGACTAAATAATGAAATAGTAATTAATATATTCTTCCAAATTATATATTGATATTTTATCAAAGTTAAACATACCAACAAAGGTCTTTTACATAGAGGTAATCCTAATATTGCTAATGTATGAATAAAATGAAAATAACTTGCAGTTTCAAATACTTTTTTGAGGTGTACTTCATCATATTTTGGATATTGTTCTAAAATATAATAAATAAAAATTATTTTATATAAATAATATACTAAAAGATTGCATAAAATTTATTTTTGTTAAAAAATATTTAACAAAAAATATTAGTAAAAAATTTATATTAAATTACAGTATTATATAATTAAAATTTTTTCTAAACAAAATTGCATTTAAAAGAGCACAACAATAATTTTAATCTTACTATAAAAACCATATCCATTAAGAATTACAGCTGCTGCACCACTAAAAGCGGCAAGTCTAATATATGGTCCTGTATCTGCAGCTAATTTCCATAATGGTATTGGTGATGGTATTTTTATTTCATTTTTTGATTTTAATCCCAAATATTTGGATGCCTAAAGACAATTTCTGATATAATATTTATATTTTATAATATTTGTATATAAATTATTGTTAAAACTATTT